GCCTGCGTCGAAGCGAGCAGCCTCCATCGCTCTGATCAATTGTGTCAGCAACCTTACCTCTATCTACGCCAGTTACATGTACAACAGCGACTTTGCGCCGCGCTACACCATTGCTATGGCCGTCAATCTGGGCACTGCATTCATGGCAATCGCTGCAGCCACGGTGTTGAGAGTTCTGTTGACGAGGCTGAACAAGAAGCTCGAACGTGGAGAGTACGTTCCGGGCGTTGTCGCGACATTCAGATTTGCGGTCTAGAAAGAGTCGGAGTTGAACGGACTGAGAGTACACCTCGAAGAATGTCCGATGACTGTCTTCATGCGGCAAAGATCATAGAGCCAAGTGATGATAATATTGCTCGCCCCATTTTTCGTGTCTTGCATCCTTCGTATCGAAAACTCGTACCACCTACCTACCATCTGCTTTTCAGCGATGACGGTGATGTCCTGCTGCCCGAACGGCAGAGTCTAGATTCATCGCGGGGGCAGTGTCTAAGATTTGGACGGATGTTGATGGATCCGTTTCTCGAACGTTGTGAGTACCTAATCTTGGAACCCCTTTAGTGTATTTTTTTACGACCGGCTGAGATGACAAGGGTTGAGTGACAGAAGTCTTTGCAAAAGTCAAAAGCGAGCGAGTTCATACAGCTAATATTATTCCCACACTACGTTTTGTCTTCCGGAAACATTGCTGGATATACATTGCAGCCTGGAAATTGGATTGATGCTAGTTCTGAGCGAATGCAACTCGGGAATAAATTGCATGAGACAAGGTGGAAGCGTAAGTAATCATTAATCTTCGGTTTCATCGATTGAGTCTATGATCTGCTTCGTGTGAACGTATGCACGACTTCTGTCACCCACTCTTGGGAACACAGGGCCCATCGCGTCATGTTTCAGCCGCTTTTCTGCTGTTCACTGGCGATCGAATTCGAATATGGTATGGCGGCACGCTACTCGATATGCTTATTAGATAACCATATTTCTAGTCCAAACTCTGCTCGAATCACGAGGGGTAATCTACTGCAGATCCCCAAATTGCTCCGCAACGTGACAAACGTTTCGACGCCTTCCATGGTTTTGATTCGCCCCTCGAGGGACAAGATCATGGAGATGCAAACGGCAAGGCTTGTTGTGATGACAGATCTAACGTATGAGGGGCCAAACGGAATGAGTGGTATCCGAGTGAGACATGGTCGAGCGAGGTAAGGTATATAAACCATGCAGTCTTCTGGCATAGAGAAGTATTATACTCATCTACCTCTCTCTACTTGCAACCCTCAGTCGATCAGCATAACAATCGTATACTCAAATATCTTGACTTGATCTCACTTCACATCAATCCACAATGAAGACTGCCATTCTCAGCACCGCCGCGCTCGCTGTTCTGGCCTCTGCTGCACCTGCCCAGGTCAAGAGAGCCACCACAGACATCGATGGCACCATTCTCAACTACGCTCTGACACTGGAGCATCTCGAGGCCGCTTTCTATGCTCAAGGTATCAAGAACTTCACCGAAGCCGACTTTAGCAAGGCTGGCTTCAACGGTCCACACTTCTACAGGAACCTCAAGGAGATTGCCGCAGATGAGCAAACACACGTTAGCTTCTTGACCAGTGCTCTCAAGGCTGCTGGTGTAACTCCAGTCGCTGCCTGCACCTACGACTTCGGCAACCTCACTCCCGAGACCTTCATTGTCACCTCCTCCATTCTCGAGGGTGTTGGCGTTAGCGCATACCTCGGTGCTGCCCAGAACATCACCGACAAGACCTACCTCACTGCCGCTGCATCCATCCTTACAGTCGAGGCTCGCCACAGTGCCTACGTCCGTAACGCACTAAAGAAGAGCCCATTTGCTCAACCTTTCGACGTTCCCCTCGACTTCGATGAAGTTTACTCCCTCGCCGCTCCTTTCATCGCCTTTTGCCCGTCGAGCAACCCCAGCCTCCCAGTCAAGGCATTCCCTGCCCTCACTGCCATCAGCGCCATGCCTGCCATCCAGGGCAAGATGGTCAAGTACACCGTCGCTAAGTCTGCCACGGTCCCCTCGGGTGATCTTTTCATGGCCTTCCCTCTCGTCACTGGCCCAGTCTTCATGCCTGTCACACGCAACGCTACCGATGGTTCTTACCAGGCTACTGTTCCCTCGAGCGCTGCCGGTCCTTATGGACAGAGCTACGCCATCCTCACTTCGTCCAACGACACTCTTAGCGACGACAACACCATTGCTGGCCCTGCTGTCGTCAACGTCCTTGTCTAGAGACAGGAACGAGATGTGCTATTGAGAACTACTGGGTTGAAAGTGTATATCCTGTTTGCCCGTCTTGCTTTATTACTCCAAGATTTAATGATACTTTAATGGAGAGCGTTTTTATTTTTCTTAATATGAAAATGTATGAATACTTTTACCTGAACAACTTCCCTTTCGTAATGCTGTATTGACAATAGTCTGACCGCTTGGTGATCCTGTTCGTTCTCTACTTAGCATTCGGTCATCAACAATGTTCACAGGGGTGTGGGAATATTTAAGCCGAATGTAACCGGCAGATGGCATATGGTTCGATGAAATTTTTGGTACGTGTTCCTTTGCGTCTGCTCCGACGTCGGTATGTACGTGCATACACGATCCGAAAGGGTATCTCTCCTGAATAGAATGTTATTGTGCTCTGTACAGCATGGATTAGCTACCAGGAAGGTTATTCGGTGATCTTGTTCTCGTCGCTTGATCAGACATGGAACAGGTGTCGAATGGCACTTCTACAATCCTACAGTAGGCAAAGAAACAGCATTCTGTCGCAAAGTGCTATAAAGTAAGAGGACCCACAGAAGCGGGCACGCTGCTGCTCGAAAAGAAGTGGGCAAGATCACGCCCCCACTATGGTTCCTGGCTAGATTCGCAAAATCTTATCAGATGGCCCGATAATGACGGCACGGGTCCCACCAACCCCTCCGGAATGTCCTTCCCCGCCGGTCACACAATCGCAAAGTCCAACGACATCGGACTATCTTGATTGGCAACAAGACGGCAAGAGGGTAGCGAAACGACAAACCTGTGACACTGACATTTATTGCATAGGGGTTCCAGGGTTTCGATGAGTGAGTATTTACTGTTGACCGCTTCGCCCACATATCAACATGGTTGTTTTGCTCGATTTGGATCAGGACGAGATCGAAGTGCCTTCTCATACCCGCAGGGATTTCAGAAGCCGTTATCCATTGACCGAGATGCATGCTCCCGATTCCGAGTACACTGCAAACGAAGAAGAAGCCAGACCGAACCCAAATATCAACAGCTTCTCGGAAGCGCTGGGCTGCTATCCGTATGCCGCCACCACCCTTCGGTGAATTCGGCCAACTCGATTGATCACCATACTGACTTGGCACTGTCTATTCACAGAGTGGTTTCACTTTTAGCCCAGAGTCTCGACTTGAATTCTTTACACGATCTCTCCCGCACCTGTCGCCAAGTCCGCGCCAATCTCCTCCAATATCGCCGCCAGCTCATTTCACAAACCCTACGATGTGAAAACGAAGATGTAGAGCCCGGCCCACGATTGGCCAACAGTCTACGCGACTTGCATCAGAATTGGAACACATCCGGTCCAAACGGTGTGCACGCGACCAAAATAACAAGTGGGAAAATAGGCACTTGTGCCAGAGACATGGTTGGCGAATGTCGAAGATGCAGCAAGATTGTCTGTAGGGTATGCATATCGTCAAGAGATTGGGAGCCAGAAGAGCATGAAGACCAAGAGTTGTGAGGACTAATAGCACACTGCAGAATTGTATAGTGAAGGCGCCATCTCCCATAGCGTTAAAAGGACGGTACCGCCGTCTCTGTCGAACATGCATCAGGTCGCCACTAGACGAGCATACCCGTTACGCCGTCGATGAGTGCTGTCCGGCTTCCGATGACTCAAGGTTCGTAAAGGAAAGTATATACATACGTGTGCTGAAAGACTCTCTTAGTACCGCTTCATCCGACGACGGTCACTCCAACGTGGCTACTGCCAGAGATCCCTGCTCTTGTGAGAAAGAGGTCTGGATTTGTCAGCCTTGTGGCCAATCCGTAAGGACCCATGACACCACGTATATGCGTGGTTGGGCTTGGCGGACCAGGTATAGTACCTACCTTGGTGGCCTGGGCACTGGTATCGGTGAAGGCGTCGAGGGCGTGCAATGCGGGCGCAATTCAGCCTGTCTTGCAGCGAAGGAAGTAGAAAAAGAGATTGATTGCGATGCGGAAGAGCTCGATGCCATGAAGCAACTAGCACTCAAAGCAGAAATGGAGGGAAGGACATGGAGCGGCACAAGCTATATGATGCAGGAAATGGAAGGCATCGGGGGTGTCGTCAAGAAGAAGGTAAAAAAGAGGGTCCGTGTCGGTGCCGTCGTCAAAGAATACGAAGATGAGCGGGATCATGGAAAGTATCTCTACAGAGAGCAAGAAGGTCAGAACCGCTCATGGTGTTCCTGGTGCGATCGCGTCGTCATGAGCAAGAAGGATCTGGAGCCACCGGACGATGATGGTCTGCGAAGGACTGTTTCACGATCCAGTTCTTCTTCTAGTATATAAGCATGACGCATGATATCAGACAAAAGCATTATTGTAGCATGTAGTTTATTCAGTCAGACGCTCTTCGTTGTTCACATTTTTCGTGAATATCGGTTCACACCCGACGGGAAAGGTTGGTTGTTCATCGTCATTGTCAGATAGAGATCCCGACGAGCCTCGGTCGATGATTTCTTCTTCATCCATGCCTTGGTAACCCGACGCCATTTCAAGAAGCAGAACAGCTTACCTTACCTACTCGAAGCCAAAATGCTGCTCCAACAAAGTCAAGATCATCACCTCGCTTATGTTATTTTCCATCCGACATTCTACAAATCAGCAAAATACAACAACATGCATGCACTATCAAAAATGCGCAATGTGCTGTCGAACAGGCCGGACATTTGCAGGACGAAAAGCCGACAGAAAAGAAAGGAGTGGTAAAGTCGATTGTATCGACCGGGAGTCGAACCCGGGCCACTCGCTTGGAAGGCGAGTATCCTGCCGTTGGACCATCGAAACGAATGAACGCTTGATCAACCAATGACTTGATGAGAAAAGCCCCTTCCAGAATCATATATATTCCTGTGCAAACCATAGTCCGTTCACCGCCATGCGGCTTAAAATCAGATGTGCCGAATAGTCCACTATGCCATTGTGTGGTACTCCAAGTCTCTTGGAGGAAAGATCGACAACAGCACGGCCAAGATCCTTAGTCCTATACAAAGAATAGGAGCCCAAGCAGTAGTCAAATGCTTCCGCACGACCTCAGCCAAAGCGTCCAGCGCCGAAGCCTCGCTCCCCCTTCCACACGCGCGGCTGAAATTGAAGATTGGCAAATTCTAGGTGGGACTCCACACGCTGCCAGAGACTAACCTACTGAAGGTACAGCTCAGAAAACTAGTTGAGAAGCCTAGGGCAAAGACATTTACCTCCCCCCTCTACAATATGGAAACACAGCTAGGAAAGATAGGGATGGATATGGAAACTATCCCAGCATAAATAGCCCTACTGTAGGGCACAGCAACAGTTATTTATAAACCTAACCACTATAACTCTAATAAAGCATATAAAAACTATTTTAGAATAAAGGATTAGCATCTGAACATCTTTACTAATAGCTCTATTGCCAACAGCCAAATAGGAGTCAGAGTAGTAATGTACTTTAAAAAACCTATATTATTATTTATACATTTTTAATAAATTAAATTGGAAAATAGCATTAATAGCATAATAATGGAACTAATTGCAATTAAAGAAGCAGTAACTTTAATAGGAGTTATATTAGAAACATTGTATAGCTATAGAAACCTAATTCCCTAAATATCAATATAGTCTAATAGCTAAATAGCTATTTATATAATTAATTAATAAGTATACTAAAATAAAGCAGCTATAATATAACGCATTCTATATATAATTAAATACTACGCAATCCTTAAGGGATATCTGTCTATTTAATAGATTCTAAAAAAGGCTGCAGTTATAGAATATATTGAATCAGACTGGCTAGCTAAGTAAGCTATAAATCTTCACATTATAGAATTAATAAATAGAGAAAGGGTTTTAAATAGTATAAAATAAGTATAGAACACCTTTAAGAATAAAATTATAGCTAAAGAATAATAGAGACTATAGAATATAGGCAAGAGCTTTTATGCAATAGATAGCGCTATTTTAAGTAAATATACTGCGCTACTTTATAATAAATTGGATAGGAAAAAGGTATCTATTCTAATATAGCTATATATAAAATATGCGTAGCTAAATAAGTTCCTAGCAGTTATTAAAGCTATAGGGTTAAGTTAATGCAAATATAAATAAGGAGAGGAGACAGTCCAATACTTTGTATTACTATGCTCTAAATATAAGACTTAGAAACAAAAATTAGTAAAGGCACTAGGCTCTAAATTTAGCAATATTTCTTATATAATAAGAGGACGTAACCCTTATATAATAATAGGGGAACCCTATAGAGATAGACTAATAGACTAATAGAGAGCAGATATAAACATAGTCTAGGCAATTATTAAATATACAATAAATACTGGAAAACTAGACTTTATAAAGGAATATAGGAGGCTAGAAGGTTAAGCTAAGCAGGACAGCCTGGAGAGTGAGGCAGGGGACAGCAATATAGAACTAGGAAGAAAGGCCAAAGAAGAATAAAAAATATATATATATATACTAAAAGTAATATTTACTATAGAACATTTAGATGCAATAAGTGCATAGATACCCTAATAAGTTAAGCTATAGAATAAGACGCAGACTCTATATATAATTTTATAATTAGTAAAATGTAGATAATAGTTGCTTATACTTCCAGTAGTAAGCGCATAGCGTATGAAACAATCAATCAATTAATCAATCACTATGCTATTTATATCCAGTAAGCACAAGTCCAACAACATCGATATTTTTTATTGATATTTTTTATCGATATTCATTAAGTAATTGACACTATCATCCACACGCCAACTCGAAAAAACAACATTGATATTTTTATCAATATTCATTAGTTTATTAACAGTTTCATCTACAAGTTGACTTAACAAATTGGACTATCCAACTCCTGTCAATTTTAATTAAAGGAAAGGGTGCTGCCTAACTATCCTAGTAATGCTATTATTATAATTATATTAGCATTGTTCCTAAAAGGACTAATTACTGCTATAGCAGCTTAAAAAAGAGCTAGAAATACTAAATAGAATAATAAAAAGCTGATTCAGCCTATTTGCTCTTTTAGTTTAAATAATAATACTATCTTTATTAAAGATATAATAAAACGTCTTATTAAAGAAGCAGTAAACGCTTAGAATAGTAAATTTAATAAACTGCTTAAGCAACTTAGGATTCAGAATGAGGCTTTCTATTAGAAGAATATTGCTCTGCTAGCGATATTTAATATAATTATAAAAAAACTTGACATTATTAAAAAGAAGCTTAATATTATAAAGATAAGACTTAAACACTTAATTATAAGGATTAAAGAGCTTAAAAAGGAATTTAAAATAATAAATACTAAATTAAAAGCTAATATTAAAATCCTTAATATAGAGATTAGGACTATTAGCTCTAGCGTTAATAAAGGAAGAACAGTCCTTTTAACCCTTAAACAGTTAAGCTTATTATCCCTAGCTGACCCTAATATAGCAGTATTACTATTAACCTTATATGTATCTGCAGCATTAAGGTTAGTTAACCTATTATTGCTAGCTACCTAACTTTATATAAGCAATAGAACGCTATTAACCCTACTGACTTCTCTAAAGAAGCTATAACAACTTTTAGGCATTACAATTAACATTAGCTAAATACTAGCTAAATAATATGAATTAGCTAAAGATAGCAAAACTATAGTAAAATAAATTAAGAAAGCAATTGCATCCTAACTGTTAATATATGTAATTACTATTAAAGGAATTCAAACAAGAATAAGAATTATAAGGGTTATCACTTAAAACAAAAAAAATATAGCACAATTGCAATTAAATAATAAATAGGTCTATTAAGTATTTAAAATAGCCTAAACTTATAAAAAAGACTGCTTCCTAATTAAAGTTAACAATATACCTAGAATAGCAGTCCTAGTACCTAGTATTAGTAAAATCTACCTAGAGTTTATAGCAGCATTTACAGCTAAGAATAAGTTTATAGGCGCTACTAAAGCATTCTAGCTATCTAAGGGAGAGAAACCTGCTAGATCTATAATAGCCTACTTAGCTACAGCTAAGGATGCCTAATAAGCCCTTACTAAACAAAGGATTAAGATTAATAGCAATATAACTATAGTTAGCAAATACTAGAAACTCTAATACCCCTAGAGATGCTATAACTGCAATAAATACAGCCATTATTAGGCTAAGTATAGCTAACTAATAAAATATAGCAAATATATAGAAAATTATAAAACTAATAAATGTGAGGCTACAGCCTCTAAATGCGTAGCATATAGCAGACTACATACTACTATAGACGCAGAATGTTCAGTATACTGTAATAAGATTAGTAAAATTTAAAGAGAAAGATAACACACTGATTAATCTATTTATAATAAAGATAAAGAATAATAGACTGTTATTAATCAATAAACTAGACAGGAAGCCATTATAAGCAATATTTAATAGGAGACACCTATTTCCTCTTAGCAAATGTGAATAGATAATCCCTAGTTCAATTTAGCCTTATTAACAATATATTTATTAGCCAGTTTATAGCAATTATAATTATAAAACTAAATATTACTAATATTAATAGTAAACTATATATTTCCTAATATTAGTGCTGGACTACTATAACTCTATCTACTTATTAAGAAGGACTAACGCATTATGTGTTTTAATTAATATTATATATTTATAAAGACGTTCTATTTGTTTAGTTCCTTATACAGTTATTAAATATAACTATAGAGGTTATTACTACTTTAATAGAATACATTTTTATTGCATTAATCTATATTCTAAGCTGGAGCTAATACGCCTCTTTAAAGCAGGACCTAGAAGAGGCAGCCACTACTAGGCTTAATGCGCTAAATAGCGCTATTTAAAAAGCAAAATCAAAATATAGAGAAAACCTCTCTATTATAATAGAAAGCGACTTTAATTATTATAACCTAATATAAAAAGGAGTCAATGTGCCATAATTACAATATATAAGAAAAGGTGAACTAGTGCTCTAATAAATGCATTAATATAATATATTCTTAGCGCTACTAAGCAATATAGTTATATTCCTATAAGGACGCTTTAGAACTACTATTAATCTTATACTAGTGTCTAACTTAATAGAAGATTAGGTTATAAAATACAGTATCCACTTAACCTAATATAGGTCAGACTATAAAGCTATAATATTTCAAATTGAAGAGGGCAAGACAGTTACTCTATTAGAGGCTAAGTACAACTATAGAAAGATAAACTAGAATACAGCTATTAAAGCGCTTAAAAAATGGAGACTATTAATTGTTAATATTAATAATATTACTAAGCTTAATTAAGCAGTTATAGAGATTTAGAATATAGTGAATCAATATATTTACAATTATAGCCTAATAGTTAAGAAATCCCTATATATGAAATTATAATAGGATAATAAACTTACAGAGCTATATAATAAATACACTTAATAATTAAACTGGAATAATATATTACAAACTATAAAGCTAAATAGGGAAGAAAGTTGTTACAAAGCTAGATAAGCTAAGCACCAGTTTTATAAAAGCATCTGTAACAAAAAGTAACTATATTAAAACAATTTCCTAATATAGACTAATAATATCTGAAAAGCAGCTAGGTACTTTAACCTATAACTATTAGCGTTTAGCAATATCCTTACTATAATTATTAGCATTAAAGGCTAAAAGGTAGAGCTTAAAAATAATAAGGCTAAAGCAACTAAGCTACTTTAATGCTTTTTCCTACTAGTTTCTAAAAGTTAGAAAGAGGATATGCTAAACCTTAATACAAGATATATAAACAATTTGGATATCTCTATTAAAAAAGTAACTAGAGCAATAG